CTCGGGTGAGCTCCGGTTTGTCGGGCCATGATTCTTCCCTTACTCGAGCAGACGATTAAGGACCATTGTTCCCACGTTCGTAGTAGACGAGCTGTTCGGAGGAGTGGGGGACTTGGTTGAGTCCTACCTGACGTTGAAGGAGCTTAGTTACTTCTCTCGTGGCGACCTCGACACGAACTATATCTACTATTCTCTTCTGATGGGACGCCTTCGTTGGGGCGACGAGAGGCTCCTGGTTATACAGCTGATATGTTCTATAGCTCCTACCCTGCAAAGGGATTGGTCGAGAACGGTGTCATCAGACTGGAGACATCGTCCACCACCATACGTGTGGGACCTCCTAGACAGAGAGCTCAGGGTCGGGCCGAAGTACATTTCTTCAGTGGGCCGACTCTTTATGGACGACTGGGACGCCTGGTGGAGTGACGCTCTTCTATCCCCGCATCTGATTGCGCGGTACTACGAGAGCATAGGGGCACCGGGGTACGCCCTAGAGCCGCTGGTAGACGACGGTGACATTGAAGACGAGGAGGCGTGGGAACCCGATTGGGTGGATACCGACGAGGAGGATTCCGAGTCGGAGGATGAGGCAGAGGAGGTTGAGGAGGTGAACGACGCTGCTGCTGGGACGATCCATTTTCCGAGGTTAGTGGTCGGGTTCGCAGCCTAGGCGTGCGGAGGCGACAGAGCGGCTAGAGGCAGGCCAGATGGAGAGATGCGACCGGATCTACATGGGCAAACACATCGTCTTCCTTACACAAGTACGTTAGAGTCGTGGTCGTCTGAGGAGCGACGACCAAGGTTGCCACGCGGGGCACCCCGGGGCCGAGGCCGGGGTCGCGATTTGACCCTCGGACCCCCGCAGCGAGGGGCACCGACCCCCGAACCCCGCGTAAGAACCCCGCGCCCACCCGAATCTCCGGACCCCCGCGGGCACCCCCGCACCCCCGCACCCCCGCACCCAGCCCCGCCAACCCGGCCCCGACAGCCCCGCTCCCTACCCCGGCCTGCACCCCCGGTCCCCGGCAGCCTCGCCCCGCAACCCCGCCCCCCACATTGGCCCCTGCACCCGCGCTCCCCCGCCGCCCGACACCCCCATGCCCGCCACCCCGCCGGCCGCAGCCCCGCCCATCGACCCCCGACCACTGACACCTGCACCTCGCGACCCACACCCCGCGCGCCCACCCTGCACCCCCGCACCCCGCCGCCCCGCTGCCCCGCAGGCCCGCACCCAGCACCCCGCTCCCCGAACCCCGCACCTCGGCTGCCGACAAAAAAACATTAGAAAACTTATGTAACTCTATATGGGACGCTGGGCCCGGTTCCCAGCACATGCTGCTCCCCACGAATAAATTGGAGCTTTTGTCCCAAAAAAAAAAAGAAAGAAAGAAAGGGCACATGGCATGCACCGTGTGTCCCATAACTGTCTTGAGCAGTCACTGCGCACTGGCCACCGGTGCCACCACATTATAAAAGAATGTGGCACCAAAGGCTTGTGCATCGATTGAGCAAGCCTTCAGTTCTGGACTCAACACCAGAGGCTTGCACGTCGCGTGCCCTGATACTTGCGGCGTTATGCGGTGAGGTAAGTACAACTGCGTTGTACAAACCTCGTTTCGAAAGGTTTTTTTTTTTTTTTTTTTTTTTCTTAAACCACCAGTACTTGGCCCAGCTATGGGCCGCAGGCGTGTCCCGTTAACGCGCCGCATTTTTGGGGGGGGGGCGTTCACATGAACGGCCGGTCGCTGAGAATTGCGACGCAGAAAAGAAAGAACAACAGCAAAAAAGAAACTACTTTCGAGGTTGGGTCGGTGGTCGTGTGGGTTTTTTTTTTTTTTTTTTAAAGTTCGGGCAGGGGTCATTGTCCTTTTTTCTTTTTTTTTATAAACAAAATCGCTCTATTTATTGGTGTGGAGCGTCACCTGCTGGGAAACTGGTAATGGGACGGTGGGGGTAGTGGTCACCTCTGTTCTTGGTGGAATGCTTCTAAGTTCTAACTAGTATTTCAGGTACATTCTGGATGTCTGTTTTTTCTGCTTTTTTTTTTTTTTTTCGTTTTTCTTAAATTCCCCTGCCAGCGAGGCAGGGCATATCCCGTGATGTACTAAACAGCCCTCCTTGAGGGCATGCTCACACTTGCACACAGACAAATGTATGTAACTAATTTCAGGGCCAAATTCATGTTCCTTTTTTTTTTTTTTCTTCTTCGATATTCCTTATTTCACTTTTCGATTCTGACTGAAATGCCACGGGGCTGATACAGCCAAACTGCGACGTGCTCACATCAGCACTGAGGAGAATGCATCCAACTGCATTCACATCCACAACGTTGTTTTTTTTTTTTTTTTTTTTAGCTGTTTTCGTTTTCCAACTGGTTCCCCCAGCCTCCGCCCGTCCAGGTACTGGTACTGCCGGGCTTGGCCGGCTCAACATACCGGTCGCTGGAGGCTCAGACTTGATAGCTGGGCCAAGTAGTGGTGGTTTAATGCTCGACATACCGGTCGCTGGAGGCTCAGACGTGATAGCTGGGCCAAGTGCACCAGTACTTGGCCCAGCTATCAAGTCTGACCCTCCAGCGACCGGTATGTCGAGCCTGCCAAGCCTGGCAGTACCAGTACCTGGACGGGCGGATAGTCACATAGGGGTGAAGGTTGCTGTAGAGGTCGTAGCTGCTACAGTCCTGAAAGGTCAAGGTCGTAGCTGGTACAGTGTTGAAGGGCCCGGAAGTGGCCCTTCAGACGTTGCCCACAGTAGACCAGAGGCAAGTAGGCAAGTGGTGAGTCCTACCGTGGTGAGTCCCAGTCGCACCTAGTCCAGTCAGCAAGAACCATGTGTGACTGTGTGCACAAAGGGCCCGGTGGGAAACGGGCATAGTAGGCATACCAACGTCCAGCAGAACTGTAGATCAAGAGGCAGCGGCCAGCCATTCATTCATTCGCTGTGTAAGCCATGCGGAAGCGCTGCTACAGCGTCTTGTGCGAGGTGGTGTACAGGTCGCCCGAAGTCGAAGTGGGCTGAAGAGAGAGGCAGTCGCCATAGTTAGTAGTGCGGCCATAGCCGCTGTAGAGTTGGTGTTGGTTGCGTGTGTGTTTGTGTGTGAGCTACAGTGGGAGAGATACGTGCTTGGGATATTCAGGGTGATCTAGAGTGAGTGTCAGTACGTGTGAACAGTGGTGATCAGAGTACGAGAGTGGGTTGTATCAGCGCTGTTGCGCCATAGCTAGTTGAAGCGAGCTTGTATCGAAGTGTGTTATTGCGTCCATATGTCTGAGTTTGGTGTGGGCACCTAGCGCCAGACTACTTTGCCATCTGTTTGCATGTATGCGAGTGAAGAATAGAGCGAGTCTGATTGCAAAAAGAACTAGTTTTTTTTTTTTTCCCCCTCAAATGACACGGCTGCGTCTATTGGTGAGGAGCGTCACCTGCTGGAAACCTGGTCCAGCGGGAAAAGAAAAGACGAAAAAAAAAAAAAGAACTCGGGCAGTATCACCTCTGCCAAGCAGTAGTACGTATGTGGCATACCGTGCAGCCACACAGGTCTGCAGGGCCCGACCAGCGTTCTCAGCCTGAAAATGGCCCTCCAGGCCCTGAGTCTTTTCAGCCTGAAACGGAGGGTCATTTTCAGCCCCCTCCAGGCCCTGAGTCTTTTCAGCCTGAAACGAAGGGCCATTTTCAGGCCCTAATAAAGTCGGCCTCCCCTGAAACTTAGGTGCCAGACCAGGGATAAGCGAATGTCAACTTCAGGGCCTCATAAAGTCCACCTCCCCTGAAACTTAGGTGCCAGACCCAGTTTCAGGGGCTAAAGTAGCATTGGAAAGAGAGAGATGGTTGGCGGAGGCCAGGGAGACTTACATGTGGGCCTGTGGCGCCATAGCTCCAGCTTCGTCTTCGATGTACCTGCAGCAATGCGACCCCTTCACACGGTAGTACTTGGTACAAAAGAGAAACAGTTCTTCTTTTTCCTCCTCTAAGTCCACCATCTTTCCCATCTCCTCCAGCTACCTGACTTCTCAATATCTGCAGACTACGAGAGAGAGAGAGAGAGAGAGAGAGAGAGAGAGAGAGAGAGAGAGAGAGAGAGACAGAGAGAGACAGAGAGAGACAGAGAGAGAGAGAGAGAGAGAGAGAGATTTGTGACTTTGGGACTTTATGACATTTGGATCCAGACTCGACATTGGGATTCAGACATTTGATGAGGGATTATTTGGGACCTGTACCGAAGACTTGGTTTTGACGACATTCCCATCTCCTCCCCTATCTTCGTCTGATCCCGTCGTCCTTGTCTGTGTATGTTTGGGGCTGGCGCATTTCTCCTGTGTAAAGTGTCACGCCCCTTCACACCTTGCGATGATCATGTAACTTTGGTCTGCATTGCGACATTGATTGGGTTGATCATTGGTATTTTAGCCTTCCGCTGTACTATCTTGTACTATGTGAGAGAGGTCTGTTCTTGTCTGGTCTGCACCTTGCCGGTTCATGTATCCAGTTTTGTCCTTCTTTTTATTTCGTTGGTTTTTTATTGTTGAAGATTGTTGATTTCGTTTTGTTGTCGAAGGTTCAGACATTGGGATTCAGCGTGTTGTTTTTTTATTGTTGAAGGTTGTTGATTTCTTTTTGTTGTTGTTTTGTTGTGTATTTCTGCATTGTATGTCATTTTTTGTTTCTGCTTTTCTGTCCAGGTTCTTTCTGCAGTTTTCTTATTCTTCATTTTCAGCATTTTCTTTGCATTCTGCTGCCGCTCTCTTTTCTCTCCAGCTTACGACATCGTCTTTTTGCAGTGTCAGCGTTTCAGCACGTCACACCAACATGGAAAGGGTCCGGCAGACTCGTCCAATGCCGCCAAACAAGGTTGATTCGACGATCGGCGGCAAGAGAGATGACCCTTTATGGCATTTTGTCGCACGTGGTCGTTATTTGGATGGGTCCACTGCGGCGGGTAGAAAGAGTGGTCGTCGCTGCCTGTGCAGGTTGTGCAGGTGTTCGATGTGCGGGGGCGCTAAGGCCGCCAAGGAACACTTCTCAAAGAGCGAAAAGTTCCGATATCAACTCCTTTTGACATTTTGCCATTTGGTTGAAGGACATGGCGAAATGTCCGAAGGAGTTGATATCGGCTATCGAGGCATTGCAGAGCTTGCCTCCTGGGCATCCGAAATTTCAGTGGCCACCACTACGATACCCCGAGGACTCAGTGAAGGCCCCCGTTTCCACCACCGCCCCCTCGGGGGCGGTGCCTTCGACTAGTCCAGCCGTTCGAGTTACTGTACCGCATCGGACACCGCCACATTCACCAGCTCCGGCGTCTGCACTGCTGACTGGGACAAAGGGTGCAGGCGGTTTACACGTTGGTCGGTCCGTGCCGGCCAATGAGCCCCCTCTTGTGCAGGAGGGTGGGGGTCGTGCGGCGTTCGACGAGCACGGCACACGTGCTTTTGTTGATAGCCGTAAGTGGGGGAGGGATCTTGGCACTTTGGCCGGACTTGCCATTGTGTTTACCAGTGTCAGGCGCTCACATGCTACATGGGCTACCACTATTGCGGCCCCTGCCGCAGATGATCACGCTTCGTCAAACCACCCTTGGTTGCCGCCTCCACCGTCACCAGTGGCGCAGGGTGCAGCCGCCGACCATGTTGCTACGACGGACAGGGTGGATCCTTCACGCGTAGTTGTAGATGCTCGACAGGCCTCTTCCCTTCCACGAGTTCGGAAACAGGCAGTGTCCGGGGTGGCTGTTGCCAAGGTCCACATTCCGGTGTCTGATTCGTCGCCGACCCCGCTTCCGACGACGACAGGTGCTGCTGCAACTGCTCCACCTGAGCTTACCGGTTCGTTAGATCCTTTATACATGCGCAACATTGCAGTGGCCCAGAGCGTGGCACCTGCGAGTCCTCGTGGGTTGTTGGATGTTGAGATCCTTGGCGGCCGAGCCACGACGGGACGTGGTCGTGGCACCTACCGGCAACAGGCCGTCACTTCGTATTATTCGGACCCTCCAGAGCACGCGTGGCATTTGCAGATCATGCGCTTCACCGTTGAGAGTGGGATGACATTCAACTGCGTGAAGCTTGAAAGCTTCAAACGCATGTTCACGATGATCATCCCCCCGAGAGTTCCAAGGCCGCCCACGCCCAGACTGCCCACGTACCTCACGGTGCGCACGACCCTTTTGGATGAGTTGGATTAGGAGGTCCAAACACCTGTTCGCCCACTCCTTGACACGACGAGAGAGCATGGTTGCACAATCATGACCGACGGTTCGACCAACATCCGGGGTCAGACATTGTGCAACTACCTTGTCGGGACAGATTTGGGGGCAACGTATGTGGCCACCAACGTCATGCACGACAAGCCCTGGCAACCGCGTGGTTGAAGAGGGTGAAGTCCATGGACGTGAAGTTGAGCAAAATCACAGCGTTCGTGAAGGACTCCGCTGGGGTAGACGTCGCGGCGATGGAGGTTTTCCGGAAGGACGAGAGCATTAAACACATCTTCTGGATTCCCTGTGTCGCCCATGTTATGGACCTCATTCTCGAGGACATCGGCAGGATTGATTGGGTGGCCACTCGCATCGCGCAAGCGAGGTTCGTGACGAGGTTCTTCAAGCGCCATGGCCACGCACGATAGGTTTTGGAGGTCGTCTCAAAAAGACCCTTCTGCTGCCGGTGGAAACTCGTTTCGACACGAACGTCACCATGATGACGAGGCTTGTGGACCTGCGCCGACTGCTTGCGTGAGACTGTTTGGTCTACCAGAAAGATCCGCAAGGATACCGCAGAGGTCACTGCGTGTGTCGGGTCTCCTCCATGGTGGGAGGATTTGAGAGCTCTGTGCAGGATGTTGGAGCCTATCAAGATATGTTGAGGTTGGTCGACAGCGACACATGCCAAATAAGCTAGATTTTGTGTCGTTACGAGTGCTGATCGCATCTTGCTTGTCTGCGTGCCTCGACATCGATCGAGAGCAGCAGGACACTATTTCCGAGGTGTTCGACAGGTGGCGCACCATGTTCCGTACACCCGCCCACACAGCTGTCATGTTGCTAGATCCCCAGTTCCCAGACCCGACGCTGAACGACAACCAGGAGGTGCAACAGGGATTGATCGAAGCCTTGGTCCAGTTCGGCTACCCGGAGGGATCGGCGCAGCACAAAGAGGTCCCTAGGGCGGTCAACAAGTTTCATATGAAGGAGCCTCCTTTCGACGAGGTCAACATGCGGCGAGCGTTGGGCAGCTACAGCCACCCTGCCTGTTTTTGGTCTACGAAGATTGTGAAGTACCCTCACACGGTCGTCTTTGCCGATAGGATCCTTCGCATCTGGGCGACTGCATCACCGTGCGAGAGAGCATGGACTCGCTATATCTCCATTCATTCAAAGTCACATAACAGGTTGGAGGTTGCTCGGGCTCAGAAGCTCGTGCGGTGCCGCTGGAACCTCACACTACTCGAAACACCGTCGTTGTGTGACGATGCTCTTGCTGACAGGCCCGATTTCTTCCGGAACTAGGTGCATTACTGGCAGGCCGTGAAGGAGGTGCCGGCAGTGGATCAGCAACTCGTCAGAGGTAGTGGTGCACTGGCGAGGGTGACTGAGGAGGAGTTGACTCACGGCAGAGAGAGGATGCATATTGTTTCCCGCATGGGAGCCATGCGTCGAGTGCAGGAGTCCGACAAGAGGTGACACAGGGGCGGAGGTCGTGGACGTGGCGGGCGTGGGCGAGTAGGTGTCGGAGGAACGAGGCATGGTGACGGGCATGCTGTATCTGGGACTCGTCGTCAACGTGCGGACGATTTCATCCGCAAGGCCCGCCAGCGTTGGGACGAGGGGGACTTCTTGTTCGACAACTCGTCCAGCGACGACGACGATTTCTTTACGTTGGGGACGATCGCGCCTACGGACGATGAGAGAGGCGACGATGACGACAGAGGTGATGGCGAAGGTGGTGGTGGAGGTGGCGGTGATGGGTGAGGTGATGGCGGAAGTGGAGGTGACGGGGGAGGTGATGGCAGAGGTGGGGGCAAAGACAGAGGTCACGGAGGAGGTGGCGATGACGAGGGAGGTGACAACAGAGGTCAGGGAGGGAGTGGTGGAGACGAGGAAGGTGACAAGTTTGCTGACAGAGGTGTCAACGGAGGAGGTGGCGGTGGCGTCAACGGATGTTATGGAGGAGGCAGCGACGACAACAGAAGTGATGGAGGTGGTGGGGACGACGGAGCTCATGGCAGAGGTGGCAGTGATGACGCTCATGATAGAGTTGAGCAGTATGAGGACGACGGTCCTGTGCGTGGTCGTCACTTCGTCTTGAAGTGGTTGAGACACAAGGGCAGACAGGATAACAGCATCAAATCTCGTGTGCGCAGCCGTCGTCTTCAGACTCTTCGCGGTGCGGCCGTCACGGAGGCAAGCATCGTGCCGCACGAGCAAGTTGCCGTGTCTAAGGACTCCCTGAGCGACAAGGATTTCATTCCTTCTGATGCTGACATGAAGGCCGCAGAGCACGGTTTCATTGAGGCGCCGACCACGTCTGCAGCGACGATTTCAGCGCTGGAGGAGAGGGACCTCAGTTGACTCGTCCCAAGTCTCCGACGCGCATTCCAGACATTACGGCCGCACTGGAGTCCCATCGCCATCTGGCACAACCCACGGTCGAGGTTCATGCGGAAACTCGAGGAGGGGCAGGCAGTAATGGGCGAACAATTCCCGACGGTGGAGGGAATGCGCCACCTCCTTCCACCGTCGTTTGCGCGAGTGCCCACAGGGAACCCAGCGTCGCGGTCCCCTCCATAGGCGAGGTAGCACGTCCTCCCACAACTGACGTTGGTTTGGAGGACGGAGAGGTTGCACGTACTCCCACTCGTGCCCATGAGGGAGATGATCCACGTCCTGCCCCAGTCGACCAAGTTGGCCTCGCCTACCCCACTGGCAGTCTTCTGCCCACCGCCGAGTTGCCGCCGAGTTGATTGTCATGGAGTCGGCCTTGGATGGTCTATCCGACGTATCGGCGTTGATATCTCCCACTTTGGCATTTGTGGCACCACCAGCGACTGATCGAGTGGATGACACGGATGGAGTGTCTAGAGGATTCGACGAGTTCGCCAGCGACACGATACTGTATCCCGTAGTCTCTGCCACGCCCGCCGTTTTTCGTGTGGAAGCACCACACGCGGTGGACCAGGGTTTGGCGGTGGCACGGAACCGTCGTGGCGACCCGCGCGTCGCGGCGCAACGCAGTCAGTCTAAGGGATTCATTTGAGAGAGTGGATGTAGAGTATGCAACTCAGGAGAGTCATTGTGCGCAGGATTTCGCAGGCGGCGGGTCATCATTCTCCGCAGCACCTCAGGCAGACCTACACCTAGGCCCGCTACGTTCGACGCAAGACAAAGTTGGTGAAGTTGTCACCTTGGGCGGTGGCGAGGACATACAGCGTGGTGTTGGAGGCGGGCACACGGACAACGCTCGACCGCATCTCATGACGATGCGTTCAACACCCCCGCACCCCCATGGCGTCGACCCTGCCGCCCAGGGCTTAGCCGCAAGCACCGCATTGCCGACAGTGTCATTTTATGACGGCGTGACTAGGGACCGAAGGGCGGGCGACGAGGCACACGCATTAGCATATGGACCGACACATATGCCTGCGGGGACACGATCAATAGGCCGCATCGATGGTGGTTATTACGACTCCATGAGGGCATACGAGGAGCGACATGGGAGACTTTTGAGGGCCAAGACATTGGATGTCCCCAACACCAGGACGACAACTGCGAGGTTATCTCGAACGAGGACGAAGGAGACAGGTACATCGATTCCATATCACCGTCGCCGTCATCTACCTGCTTTCAACGCCAGAGCTCCAACCAGGACGACAACTGCCGGTACAGTGCCGGAGGGAGGGACAGGCGGTGGAGGCTCAACAACCATTTTGCAGAGATCGCAGCGTGGGCATGACGAGCTTCACGAGAGTGCAGCTGGACCAACCCTCAGACCTGACGACATCGACCGTTCAGGGCCAGTCGAGAATAGACGAGGCGCTGTGGTCATCTACCATGACGAGAGCACCACAGCCGTGGAGGCTGGTGAAACCACAGGCACCGACGATTCGGGTGACTCTGATTACGTTCCCAGAGGACAGACGACGGATGGAGATGATGGCGTAGGTCGACGCGTTAGGCAGAGGACAGAACTCGAACCGCATGGGCAGGGCGCGCCATCGGCCCCTATACAGCTATTGATCGAGAGGCGCAAGCTCAATCTTTGTTGGCCAAACTGTATCATTACCGGTCCGAGGTCTGATAGCTCGCATGGTATAGTAGATGGACTGATTGTACAATGTCTTCGTTTGTCGGATCATTTTTTTAGTTGACACTTCGTTGTGGTGTTGCTACATACGCACGAACAGGACGTGGGACAGTTGTTCCGCAGCAGATGACAGAGTGAGCCATACCTTCAGAGTAGGGTGCAGGTGACGAGATGCATGCAGACCTTCGCAGCAGGGTTCAGGTGACTGGATGGGTTCAGTATTTAGGTGGCACTGGGTGTTTTTTTTGTTTAAAAAAAAAAAAAAAAAACAGAACCTTAAGAGTTCTAGCTCCTTTTCCATTCTGGGGAGCGTCAGTCCGGTTCCTATTCCACCGGCAAGTCTGGTAAAATTACAAGAGATACTCACGCACCTCCACCTCAAGGTGTGGAGGCCCGAAGGACGACATTGATTACCTCATAAAAGAGGGATGTACCACCCTTCACCCCTGCCTAAGTTAGCCTGATCATCTATGATTCTGCTCTTTTTCCTTTTTGAAACTAAAGCCCTAAACCCTTGCTGACTGCGGCTTGTATGAGGGGACTTCCCTAAGAGAGGTTTCCTTGTTGAGGGTGTTGTATATACCTGTGGATTCTGAGCGAGATGGATACTGTGTTTTTTTTAGCGCCTCTCACTGTTTGGGACTGAGGGAGTCTGAGGCACTGCCTCTCTACGACTAGTTTGCAAAGAGTCTGCGTGAATGATTGACTACGTTTAATAAATAATGTGGTCACTGACTCACTGTGTCGACTATCATTTCATCATTGTTTTCTAGATGTGATATACTCGGTTGCACTGAAGGCATTGAAGATCTGTTTTTTTTTTTAATTCGCACCGTTTTATTTTCGGTTAAGTTCTATGTGTGCCAAATTGGGTGTTTTTTGACTGTTTTGGGGAACTTTTAGGGAGACCTGAGAAATCCTGAAAATCCTGAAAACTGAAAAGAGTAAATTATGCATAAAAACACATTTTACACATTTTTGTTGTGCCGTTTTATAGGTTGTTCTTTTTTTCAATTTTTTTATTTAAGTAGTTAGTAAGATGTCCACTCCATGAATTGGTGGCAACACTCGCAAGTTTGGTTAAAATGAACGTTGGGTTTTGTTATAAATGGTCCAACAAGTGGTCTGAAAATCTAGGCCTCCGTTAACCGTCTCTCCCACCCCCCCTTCCGTCCCTCAAACCCCCCATCGTCAACCCCCCCACCCTCAAACCCCTGCCACC